ACCCCTGTAGTCCCCCTGCTACCAAAACCTTTCAAACCCAATACAGTGGATTACAATTGATATCTGTTTTCAGTCATTCTTAAAAATGCCCCGAATTTCAGATTCAGCCGTTCTCCTTGAAAATCTGATTTCTTGTAGCTCATGAGGGGAGAATTGCGAATCGCGGTACAGTCTGCTGCAGAGCAGAGATGTGGGGCATGGCTTTGCATGGGATGTGCCCAGACTCTTCTGAGTTTGTCAGAGCTAGGTAATTCCTCAGCAAAACCCTGGTATGGGGTGATGCCTCCGGGGCACTAAATGTAGATGAGTATGAGGATGTCAGTGTGAAATACTGGAAAGCAGTTACTGCCTTGTACAGGTGTGTGTATTTCTGGTTTGGACCTGAGGAAGGCCTTGTGTCCTAAAGCTCATGTGCCTTTCTGCCCAAGCTGGTTACTATGACAGGCTGTGATTCCAAACACACTTGGGGTGTATTTCACATTAGTTGGCTGCACATTACTGTAGTGCCCAGTGCAGGAGGAAGTGGAAGGTGTTAATTCACCTATTTAACTCTTGGGTTAGGAGTCAGCCATAGACTTCTACTCTCCTCCCCTTTCTCATAGCTTTAATGACTTTATCTTTATAAAACTGTGGCTCTGTAAGTGGGTGATGATGAATGGGACATTTCCTGACCGTTACTTGCAACTCTAAGCTTTGAAATAAGAGTGTGATAACTGAAGCAAGAAATGGTGCTAAAAGTGAGTTTAGCTTAGAGAAAGACAAAAACTGATTTCTGAGAATGCTAGGATGTTGACAGGGTGCAACTCTGATCTCTTCCGTCCCTTAACACCAATATTATGTTGATCAGGGAAACTGATCTGTAAGTTTGCCAAGCTGGGGCTGAAGCAGGGGTCAAATCGGACAGCAGTGGCTCAGTGAAGCTTGTTGGTGACTGCTCAGGTGGTTACAGCACTTCTAGAGAAAGATCTCAATTTATCTAAGGCATTGCCCTCATGATATTGCACTGCTCTGAAGCCCTCTGTGGGTTTGCTCTTCACTGTTCTACAACTCGTAGCTTCTCCAAAACATAGCGCATCCTTCTGAGGAGCTTGCTGCTCTGTGGATCGCAAATCCTGTGCTGCTTGTAGGGTGGCATCGAGTGTTGCTCTGTGCTGGTGTAAACTGCAAGTCATCAGTATGAAACAAAATTCGGAGCTTCCAAACCCCCTTGCTTTCTAACGCTCCTCTCCGAGTTGGGAGGCTGGGTGCGACCAGGTGAGGATTCAGAGATGAAAACTCAATAACCACAGAGCGTAATTAAGCAGGCATTCTGTATGGCAGCCCTGGGGATTGCTCCACCACGAGTGCTTTGCTGGAGTGGTCTCAGAAAGTGGCTTAAGTACAGTTTGTGCACATTCATTACGTTTCTCAGAACTAATGATAAAATTCAGGATTTTGCTAGAACTCATTACTATATGCTAATGATTTTGGTACATGCGCAGTTAAATTATGGTAGGGGACTCTTCTCCCTCTGGTGGTGGGACTTCCTCATGTTGTCCTTTCTTTATTAACCCCAACCGGTGTATGTACTCAGTTGTCCTTTGAACATTTTTTTTGTGTCCCCTGGTCTCGTGCTTTACTTGGGTATTATTCCAAGTTCCTGTTATTTACATATGTCTATATGTCTATATCTTCCAGACACCAAAGGCCGCACAATCTGTTCTTCCTTGACACAAACACATGATTAAGTTACCTATATCTTAACTGGTAAAAATATTACTCTCTAACAATGTACAGACAGAGGGTATAAGATCAAATGGTTCTAAAAGACTAAACTAAATAGTTTAAAACAACCAGGCTTAACATGGTAAATACAAGAAAATCTTAGCCCTATCATCAGGGCAAGAGAAAGAAGAAATATTTCATGTCAAAATAGCTGACCCAACATAGCTGCTTTAATGCAAAAACCTAGCAAGAAGCATGCTTTTACCTAGGTTTAAATCTTAGCCCTATCGAGTAACTTGGAATTTAGGTCTGTAACCTAATGTGACTTGCTGGTGTCATTGGACACTATAGCTGAAGAGATTTAAGGATAAAGGCTTAAATTTCTCCTTATGTAAGAGCTTGTCAGTTATGTAGGTGCCTGTGTGAATTGGTAGCCCCCTGGCGAAACAGATGGGGGAGCTGCTATGGGGTGTTAGACCTTCACAGCTCTTGAATTTGGTTGGACCTTTGGGCAGGCTCCAAGGCGTGCGCCCTTCAGAGCTTTGGGGGCTAATTGGTGGTATAAAAGGGGGATCCCTAGGAAACCTTGGGCTGTTGCGTTATTGCTGGTGGGCTCACCTGTGGACTGCTGATTCCTTTGAGGATCAAATGCACCGTTACAGTTTTGAGGAGTATTAACAGAATGACAGATCTGTCTGACTTGCTTTCTAGATTGCTGCGTTTTACATATGGACCTTCATTTCCTCCATTCAAAATTCCCGATGAAGATGCTGGTCTGATTCCTCCTGAAATGGATAATGAGTGCGTTGCACAAACTTGGTTTCGCTTTTTACATATGCTGAGGTATTGTAATCACACCCATCCATTGTTCGTATTCTTGCATCGTTTCTGTAAATTTGTATGACAAATGAAAAATTTCTTTGGAGTTTGCTACGATTTAGCACCTAAATAAAATAAAGTGTGAGGGAGTTGTTGTGCCAATGCCCTGCAGCAGTTCAGGGCAAGACTGTGAGTGGGTTGTTCAACTTTGAACTCTTCGACTCTTTCAGAACGTAAACTGGTTCATTTAATTAAAAAGTTTTTAGCTATTTGGTGTTTTGGAGGATCTGAAAAAAAAGAGAGTTCAATACAATTTTGTTTCTCTGAGATAGCAAACAGGAAAAGCAGAACAATAGCTCTGAGAGATATGTACTGCTTCCATTTATTCTCCAGGGTGTTAAATTTAACCTACAAAAGATTATTTTTAAAATGGGTGTATCTCTTTGTTTTTGTGAAGAAATCTATAGAGTTAATTTTAACATCCATTTTACTGTTCCTTAAATACACAACAGAACTAAGTGGTACGCTTGATTTTAAAGATTCTTGGGAATGGCATCACATTAATATTCTGGGTGACTAGAATATTAAACTTTTCATATAAACCTGTATTTACTAATTAAAGCTAGATAAACATTAGACAGTTTAAAATCTACTTCTTGACAAATTTAAAAAAATGTGTTATTTTTCTTAATTTCTGATAGTAATGTCACAAGTACTGTAATCCTCAAATCTGAAATTGCTGTTAGAGTCAGGAATTCCCGTATCAGTCAGGAAAAATTGCTCGAACTTCTGCAGCCTGTTCCCTTTCTTGTCACTGTTTGCTGGCAACATTTAGTTCTTTGCTTAGCTTTTGAGAATAATTTTAACAATGTAAGGACCTCTTAAATGGAGTTCAAAAGACCTCATAAGTAATTAATATTACTGCAATGGTGGGATTATTCTATCAAGTGTATGCTCTGGTTCATTGCATCTTAATAAAATTACTCAGAGTACTTGGGTAATGTTTCAAAGGAAGACAAGTAAGTAGTGCCAACTTGGGAAGTGAAAATTGACTTCCTGTAATGGAGTAACAGCTAAAAATATATTGATGTTGGATGCTGTTTTTGTGTTGTTGCTATTTAAATGCCTTAAACTATTGCACCTTTTAAGTATTTTTAAAATACCAACAGCTGTTCTTAAGCTGACTAAAAGATATTTTGCTCTTTTTGTGTGCAGTAATCCTGTGGATTTGAGTAACCCAGCCATTATTAGCTCTACCCCCAAATTTCAGGAGCAATTTCTGAATGTGAGTGGGATGACTCAAGAACTGAATCAGTACCCCTGCCTTAAACATCTGCCTCAAATATTCTTTCGTGCCATGCGTGGGATCAGCTGTCTAGTGGATGCATTCCTAGGTAATGCTTTTATCTTACCTCTGGGTAGCCAGGAATAGTAACTTAATCATTATTTTATTCTCTTTAAATCTGCCATCTCTGTAAATACAGCTGTAACAATTTATCATTTGCAAGTATATCCTGGAATTGATAGGGAAGGGACCTCAGGTCACTCTTAAATGGCCACCCATATACACAATAATATTTAAATGCACAAAGTTGTAGGTGGCCTTAGTTTCAAATGCAAAACAAATAAATATATCTGAAGTCTAAAATAAAACCATCCATCTCTTCCCTAAACCAAGGCTTCTTTCTATCTTTGTCTAATCAATAATGCAAGTGTTACGCTTTTAGCATGTTGTGAGCACTGACCACTGTGTTTATAAACGCTGTGGCAACAGCTGTGTGCACTGCCTGTTTTGTAAGGGATGGAATTTTGGCTGTTGTCTTCAGATCTTTATACTGCAAGTGCCAGTTTCACTTAGTTTATGATTAGTGGGTGACTAGTACTGCTGAGAAGAAAAGCTGTGTTTCTTTGTGTCAGCCGGTAACTGAGTAGCTCAGATTTGACTGAAAGGTACAGTAGATGTAAGCGCTGGCTGGTAGGTTTTTCAGTAACACTATATAGCACCTGAAATCGAAGGCATTATTCTTAGAGTGCTTCAGGCT